AGCTGGAGGGCTTCTTACTCCGACTCCTGTAACCCTCATTTTACGACGACTAAGGGAAGTCAAAGGAAGAGTGTTCTTCCTTCAACTTCCTGCAGCGTAGACAGCACCTAAAGCGGAGTTAAGCTTTTTCAACTTAGGATACATAATTGACATAGCTGAAGTTGTGTAGCTTAATTCGACTTTAGCCCTGCTGTGTAGACGTATCCTTTAAAATTTAATTTAATTTTATCTTTGAGTGGGGGACCATTCTTACACATCAATATTTCAATCCTATTTCAGGTCACTGCTAACAAAATGGCAATGTATGGAGGAAATTTAATGTCTAGAACATAGGCTGAGCTCAGCTTTAATGTGTTCAATCAGTGCTAATGGTCTCTACTTTGTAAGTATATTTCATAAAAGAACCATGGCTATTTAATTTTCAGAGTCCTAAGGTTTTACTTCATCTCTGAGACATTTCCATAGTGGAATTATATTAAAATATGAAGGATGTACATATGCTTTTTAAGTTCTCCAAGGTCAAAATGGTCCCAGTTTAGAGATTTAAACACCTTTTGAGTTGATTTTCAAAGGTATTGAGTAGTCACAGCTTCTGCTGAAGCTATTGATTTCAAAGGATGTGAGTGCCCAGCATGTTTGAAATTCAGGTAATTTATTTCTTCAGTTGAATAGATTTCTAAAGCATTCAGGATGACATCTCAACCTTATCTTCCCACTGAATAAAAATGTACTGAGGTCCCAGCTATGTGTATGGAGGTAACTGTAACTGTCATGCTATGGCCTTGTCATCCTTAGGAAGAAAGGTGTGTTTTAACTTCTTATTAGCTAATATGCAGTAACTAACACAACATAAAAGGGAAGACAGGACAGTGTATAGTTTTAGCATGAGTTAGCAAGTCATAATAAAGCCCCCAGCCAACCTGCTCACAGGTGGGAAAACTACAAACTACTTCATCTTCAGTAGGGTTTTACCTCTGAACTTACCATGAACATACTTATTTTCCTAGTGAAAACACCCTTGGATCTAAACTCTCAGCTAGCCAGAGTAGAACTCAGGGCAGATAAGGGATAGGACACAGCCCCTGGAGCATGTTAGAGTTGCCAAAAGACTCATCTGACTAGCACCAGTTTATACCACTTCACTCTTGCCGCTATGGTAGCAGCAACCTGGCCAGATTATATATAGTCTGAACCCACTTCCGTGTAATAGTCTCCTACTTTCGATAATAAGTGTTTGCATAGAGCCAACTCTGATGGTTTTAAGCTAGCTGAGGGTACGTCTACACTGCAATAAAAGCCCAGGCTCACAATCAAGCTCAAGTCTTAACACCTCCCAGACATTGACACACACATATCTTGGATTCAGGCTTGGATCCCAGCTTGCAGGACCCTGCAGGGGTAGAGGATCCCAGCCTGAGTCCAGACAGGACCTAGGATTCGAGCCCTATCATTTTGCAGTATGGATGAAGCCATGCTGGACTCACACCCTGGGACTCTGCCTTGCCTTCTCTATTCCACAATACCAAGTCATCACTCAGCTCCCAGGAAACAGAAGTGTGCTCCCTCTTGGTTTTAGCACAGCAGCTTGGCATCTAACCTTGACATTTTATTCTGACCACAGAGCTGCAAACATACCTTCCGAGAACATTGGTCCTTTACAAAATCTCCTGTTTAATGCTCATGGGAACACAGCCCGATTTTGGTTAATCTCTGGTCCAAAACCAGCAAAACAGTTAACTTCAGTAGGAGAACCAGTAATAACCATGTATACCAGCAAATGGTGAAGAAACTGGCACAGGACTGGCCAAAGACGAGAAAGAGACAGAAGCACCCTGACGCTTGGTGAGTTTCTTGGTCCATTTTTGTATTTATTAACATAGGAATGTATTCTATGAACCATGCAAAGGTTATTACAAACCATGGGATACAGCAATCTGTATCCACTAGTGTTGGATGGCATATGAGTGCTTTGGTGTCCCACCCACTCCCTTCATTTGGAAATCAAAATGGAGAGTGGGGAAAGCAAACAGTAAAAGAAACATTTTACAGTAATTTTTTTTGTAGGAAGGGACACGTGTTTTTGCCACAGCATTCTACTTTGTTGAAAATAACCCCACGGAACGCTTTCTTTCTTTGCTTTCCCTGTACATGCTCCACTCTATTCCAGCCCCCAATTGTGTAATGAGCCAACATGCATTGTGGAGGGGCTGGCAAGAAAAGGTCAAAACGTAACCTTTTATCAAATATAGTCTATTTCTGCTAAACATAGTGTATGCAGTCTGGGAGTGATGACATCAGGCATCCTAAATATGACTGGGGTTTTGAATTCAGTCCAGAAATACTCTGGGGAAGGTGGAGAGGCCAGAGGCAGGGCCGAGGGATGGCAGTGGACTTCTGTGTGTTTGTATGCAATCATAACAGACTATATCAGAAGTTCTGGGGAGGCACTAAACCACTTAGATGATTCCTTCATGAACTGCGACCCAGTCCTTGGTGCATATAGCTGAAAGCTTTTCCTGTAGCAAGAATTCGAGATAGGTAGTTATATTCTGGGGAAGGGTATATTTTTCAGGTCCATCTCAGTAGCTGACCATCATACTCTGCTCATAAATATGCTGTTTGGAAACTATACATCTGACTATTTCAGTGGCATTAACCGGTGGCTTCCCAATGGCAGCTTGGATTAACCCCTCTCTGCCAATCAGGCACCACAAAAACTCTGATGTCCTCCAACATGTGGAATGCCTGAAATGACAGAGAAGGTTTATGGTGCATGACACAGCCACTGACCTCCCTGCAAAGCTCAAGGTGGCCTGCAATTTTAAGAAAAAAAAAGTTACGACTTTTAATGTCCATACTCAATGCACTTCTTTCACCGCAATTAACCAAGCAGTGTCCAGGGAGAGTCTGTGGTCTGAGGCATCCCTCTAACAATACATCGTAGTTCAGTGTTAAAAATAACATTTTAAGCCCTTGCAATTCCAAAACAGACTTTTTTTTCTGTGCTCCTGCACTTAGCTGCTTGAGACAATAAAAGCTCTGTGTCTTGTCCTATTTCAGACCCCTTGATCTCAACTGGATGCAGCCCCTTCTCAGCTCGCCCATGCTGCAGCAGAAGCCTGAATCGCCGTACCTTCCTGGAACACACCACCAGGAAGCACTTCCATGTTGAATGTATGGTTGAAATCTAGACAGAGCCAACAGGCATTTCCAGTACTGAAGATGGAGCAGCTTGCAGCAAGAGGAAGGATATGCTCAGAGGCAAAAGGAAAGGCTCCGGCTGGCTTCCTAGTTGGTGCATAAAGTAAGAGCTGACACTTGCTTCACAGTTCCTGGAACAGGAATGATCAAGAGAGGATGCTAGAGTTCAGCAGAAAGAACTAGTGGAGTAAATGCTAGCTCCAGTGGGTGCAAGACTTCAGCCTGGTTCTTGGTGCATCTGCCCTTGGCTCACATTCTCTGTGCAGAGTCCAAGCAATTCAGGAACGGTTGAATGACTCCATGACTGTGTGTCCCATGCAACAGTAACTACATAGAGCAAAAGTGAGCTTATGAAGTCATCCAGAATGCACCCTTCCCCTGTGGACACCTGGGCTCCTTTCCCTGGTATCAAGTGGGTAGCAAACATGGAAGAAAGGACGAGGTGTCTAGAGGGTCAGGAGAAAGAGAGCTTCAGTCTTGCATATGGTTTCACGGCTTGCATATGTGCATGCACTTGGTTCTGGGGGGTTATTTTTCAGGTTTTGGTGGCAGAGGTGTACTAACAGTAGCTAGCCTGGCTGCTAATGGTTTAATACCATATCTTTCCAATAAAAGTTTAAAAATAAAGGGTTCTGCTGTCTTTAAAAATGGTATCAACATCACTGCATCACATCTTCTCTCATGTGTTTCAAATAATATAATAATAATAAATAAAATAATACATGATCAGGGACAATAAGGAAGCTGTATGCAAAAAAAAATCTCAATACAACTATCAACATGAATCAGTTATTTATATCAATCTGTAGTGTGGGATCTCCCCACATCCCATAAACTGCCATATCATTTATAAGTATCGTGCATGGAAATCAAATGCTCCCCCCACAAGCAATGCAACACACCATTGACACACACACATTAAAGGTGCTATTCTCCCTTTTCCAGTGGCCCAAGCACATCTATAATGTGGGAGCACAGAACACCCCAGATTTCTGTTGCCTAGATATGTGCCGCTCAAGCTGTGGGAGGTGCACTTAGTGTTGGCAGTACTGGTTCAGCTGTCCATCACTGTCATGGGTCCATTCAGGGGAAATGGCTCAACTCCTGTTTCACAAAGATTGTGAAGAGCACAGCAAGTCACAGTAATCCAGACAGTGTTGATGACACTGTAATGCAGGGGTGGACAATGATTTTTTGCCAGGGGCCACTTCAGAAATTTTTGAAGTAGCCCCAGGCCACACCAGAAGGGGCAGGGCCTTAAGCGGAAGGGGCAGGGCCAGAATATTTCTCTGCTTCCCCACCCACAGACCATGATTGGTCTGAGGATGGGGGAGCAAGTGACTTCCTCCCCCCCCCCCCCCGGGGTTCCCCCCAGGGGCCCACCCCCCCGGCCGGCCCCCCCCCCGAGGTTATCCCTAGGTGGCCATGCCCCAGGCTGTGGGAGGAGACTTCGTGTGCTCCCTCTGCCCCCAGGTCAATCAGGGATTGGGGGTAGAGAATCACGCAAAGTCTCCTCCCGCCCTACCAGGAGCGTGTGGCGCTTCTAAGCACCACACATTTCTGGCAGGGCAGAGGAAACTTCATGCACTTTCCCCTTGCCCCAGGGCCTGATTGGCCTGTGGGTGGGGGAGCGGCAGGGCCTCCGTGGGCCAGATACAGCCCACGGAGGCCCTTTTGCCCACCCCTGCGGTAATGCAAACAGGTCTATAGACTTCACCAATGTAGCACTCTGGGATAATCAACTTCCAACTTTCATTGCTCTCCCATACTCTTAACTGTTTTTCATTTTTCTTAATTAGCCCATCTCAAGCCCGGGTTGTCAATGAGTATACCGAAGCCCAGCTGCAAGATATTGTCAAAAAGATTCGGGAAAGAACATCAGCCTATAAAGAAAAGCTGACTGACCCAGTAATGTCCTCTCCTGAAGGCAGTCCTACAGCTTGTAAGTTGCTTTAGTTCTCGAAAGATGCTATTTATTTGGTGGTTTGAAGATAAAAATCCCATTATAAGTGTTTAAAATGCTGGAAAATAATATTCAAAGAATTATGGACCAAATCTTCATTTGGTATCATTAACAAATCTCCATTGAAGTCAATGGCGTTGTGCTAGCTGACATCAGCTATGAATGTGATTCTATTGAACTCCATTGGTCCACCATATTAAATAGTGTTGATAGAGATAAACCTCAAACTATGCCTGTCACCATTTGCAAACTACTTTCTAGATTCTTGGTTATTTTGTCTGTACTCCCAGGGATCAAAGATCTATTCCTTATGGGGGGGAATATGTGGCATCTTCTTCATGGGGGTATGGAGATGATATTAAGATGAGATATCTTTTTTAAAGTAAACAGTGTTTAAGATATGGAGATAATCTTCCACCATCAATAAATATGCCAGGTCTGTAGGTTAGAATGGCATAAGTGAGCACAAAACTGCATCTCACTTGGGAATATTAAACATAACACAGGTTGGACCTCCCTGGTCCAGCACCCTCAGGGTCGGACCAGTCCCAAATGAGGGAATTTGCCAGATGTGGGGAGGCTGCCCCTCCCTCCTGCTGGCTCCACACCAGCACTGCTGCTACAGAGGTTTGGCTCTGGCCTCCTTCTGCCAGCTGGCTGGGGCCTCATGGGGACAGGGCTCCATGCGTGCACCACTCAGTAAGAGCTCCATGGCTACCAGGCCACTGCCGTGCCCAGTTGGGGTTGTGGGGCTGCCCCCCCCCCCCCCCCCCCCCCCCCACCACCCCCCACCCCCATGGACAGGGCTCCATGGCTGCCCCGCTAAGCCGCTCCAGGTCGGGGCTCCACAGCTGCCCTGCTGTGCCGTGCCCAGCTGGGGCCCCGTGACAAGGCTCACCAGTCCCCAAGATGGGGCTCTCCCACCACTGGACTTCCGACCAACTCACACAACTGGATGCCAATGCTCTCTGGTCCAGTAGCAGCTGTGATCCTGCCAGACTATGGATGCTGCCAGACCAGAGAGTCCTGGATTTGGGAGGTTCAGCTTGTACTGATGTTATGGCTCTTCAGAGAAAAACTGTTTTTCTTCCTTTGTGCAAGAAAAGGAAGAGTGTGTAGTCTTCACAGTCTGATTTTTTTCAGAAGCTATTTATTGATCACCTGAATTCCAGTAAATTGAAAAATATAGTAGGCTGGATGCATGTCAGGATGAAAGTCTAAACTATTATAAACTTTGCCAGCTAAGAAAGAAATGGTCAGTTTTTTAATTACTTCTGTGTTAATTAACCTATCACCTCCCTCTCTGTCACTTGCACTCACTTTTTTTTTTAAGCTATAAATGGTCCAGTTGGAATATTTACTCACACTTAGTTGTATCTTATTCTGCAACTTGTCCCATTAATTATTTTTAGAAAGAAACTCAGCTCGAGTATGGCAAAATGGGACCCAGAGCTCTAGCAGGAGTGTGCTTGCCTATGAATTTGCTCTCAAATCTGTGTTCTAACTGAAAAATTGTAGCAATAAACACTTAAGGAGTCAATTGGCTGGGTTGTAATGTGTTGGGGCTGGCACAACAGTAAGGAGGGCACATGCCATGGTTAAATGTTCCCTTTTGTGACATTCACATGCTTAGCTCCAGGTAAAAAGAAACCTCCGCCCCCGCCCCCACCACCACCAAAAGAAGAAAAAAAAGAGGAAGGTGAAGCCAAGCCAGAGGAGGATCATTACTGTGACATGCTGTGCTGTAAATTTAAGAAACCACCGCTGAAAGAATACCTGAAGATGATGGCGCTACCAGACAGTATAGATGCATACACAGGTAAACCAAATGCAGTCACACAGGAAAGTGTCAAAGGCAGGATAAAAGTCTGTATTACTTGTGTTCGAGCAGCACCTGGAGGACCTATCTGAGGTCAGAGCCCCCCTGCTCAAGTGTGGGGTGAGAGGCAGTCCCTCTGTGAAGAGCTTTCTGTGTCACTAGCCAAGAAAGAGAAAGGCTGAGAGTGGAAACAGGGGCACTAAGAGGTGAGGCCATTGCTTAAGCTCACCAGCAGAGCCAGGAATACAAAGCAGATTTCCTGAGTCCCAATTCAATGCCTGATCCCCCTAGGTTCCAGTGGGCTGCCCCTTCACTTCTGAAAGATCTTGGATGGCAAACAGAGTTTTCATGAAAATCTGACACTACCCAAACTGAACAACTGGGCTGGTCTCCACTTCAGCAGCAGGGGGTAGGGTGTCTGTATTGGAAAGAGGAGAGACGAGAGAGTCTCCTTCCCCTCACCCTTTTAGGTTATGTCTACACTGCAGACCTTAAAACAGCTGTAATGTCTTCCCTGGAGCTGCTCTTTGCTGGCAAGAGAGACTTTTCCTGCTGGAACAATGAAACCGCCCCCAATGAGTGTCATTAACTACCACTGCCCTGCCCCCTCCTCAAAAAAACCCTCAACAGATATGTTCTATTTTAAAACCGTATTTTAAATGTAAGTGAACCCAGCCCTCTTCCTTGCATACATTCCTTGTGTGACTCCTAGCTCTTACCAGACTCCCTTTCACAGACCTGGCTGCGCTGTAAATGGCAGAAGGTGATCTGCTCCTCTCTGCAGAAACTGTTCTAGATTTAATCCATTTAATGGTTTAGTTCTGTTTTAACAATAAGGGTTGGGATCTGTCAGAAAAGTGTTCGTGTTCCAAAACCCACAAGGCAAAACAAGGAAATGTTTTCCATAAGGTGGATTTCCACTCCTGAGTTTGAAGAGTTGCCAGGTTTTTGACTGTAAAACGCCAGTTAAACTCAATGGTACCCTTGTGTCTAAAACTTGACGCAATGTCCTAAAGACGCCGCGTATGACTACACTGCAGTTAAAAACCCCTGGCTGGCTCATGCCCGCTGACTTGGGTTTACAGCACTGGGGCTCGGGAGGCTGTTTAATTGCAGTGTAGACATTTGGGCTTTGACTGGAGCCCAGGCAGTAGTGAAGTGGGAGGCTCCCAGAGCTTAGGCTGCAGTCAGAACATGAACAGCTACAAAGCAATTAAACAGCCCCTTTGCCCAGCCCCTGTGAGCCTTAGGCAGCTGGCATGGGCCAGCCAGTCATGTCTACATGCAGTGTAGATCAGGGTGGGCAATAAGTTTTGGTGCGGGGCCACTCCAAGGACCGTATTCTTCCATTATATTAGTGGAGGTGGTGCAGGGTCTAGGATGGAGGTTGAGGACAGAAGGAAACTTGGGCTAAGGGACTGGGGTGCAGGAGGGCATGTGGGGTCTGGGAGGGAGTTTGGGTGAAGTAAGCAGTCATGACCTGGAGCACGGGACTGGGCTCAGGAGGAGGTGCAAAGGTTTGGGCTTGTGACCTAGGGCAGGAAGGAGTAGTGACCTGGGGCAAGGAATTGGGGTTCAGGGGCTTGGGTTGTAACATAGAATAGGAAAGGATTGTGACCTAAAGCAGGGGACGGAGGTGCAGGAGTTTGGGTTGTGACCTAATGCAAGAGGGGATTGTGACCTGGGGCAGTGTATTGGGGTTCAGGAGGTGGAAAGAGGGTTTGGGTTATGTCAGGTGGCAATGGGTTGCGGGGGAGAGAGGGGCTGAGGTGCCAGAGACAGACTCTGGCTGAGACCCCTTACCTGGGTGACTCCCAGCCAACAACCCAGCACATTTCTCAAGAAGCCTCCCTGCCTGCCCCATCCCCACAGAGGCTTCAGGGGCCATGTGCATCTGTGAATAAGACCCTGAGGGAAGAGCAGAGTGGTGCTTTGCATGCTGCTTGTTATTCAGGAAGTCCCATTGTTCAGAAACCAGCCAATGGGGTTGTGCTAAGGAAGGGCGGGGACAGTGCATAAAGCCTCTCCCTCACTCCCCCACAGCTGTGAAACACAAATG